TCCCCTTTGTGAGGGGCCTCTCTGTGAGAGTAAGTATTGCCATGGCCGGTAACCCTTCCCGAGAAACAGTTTGACCCTTGACTATCAAAAGAAAAGCTCCAAAGAGCAGAAATCAAGAGACATGGTTAAAGATAATACTTAAATGCATTTCTTTATTTTCGTCATCGATTAATTATGAACTCTTGTACAAGTCACATCGACCCTAATTCATCTGCTCGCCCATGGAATCCATGGGTTAGCTCCTTATGTTAAAATTGATCCAATCATATTAACTACCAATTTGTTTATTGTAATTAATTAATATGCGGACAATTTGTTTACGTAGCTGAAACCATATTCATACTCGTCATCTTGGAATCTTGGGCTAGGACGTCGTTAATTGTGTTTATCTTTTGCACTCTCTATGCAGTACGGTGGAGGGCCGAATCAAGAATTTTTACGATCTCTTTTGCGGTCAAGCTGGATTGTTCCTCCATCTACAAAATAATAAGTTGAATATAAATTAATAATTTGTAGAAATAGTAAATCCATGAGCATTGAAAATATCATCTTAGAGTAATTACCTCAGTAATAATTTTTATGTCAAAGGAGAAATTTCCAAATGGTGTGACATTAGTATATATTACAATGAGATTGAGCTTCTCGACCTCACTTAGTATTTTCGACAGAACCCCATTGCGTTTCTTACTGTGGATACTGAGATGAATGTGGTTGTTGCACACTCTAGCTTCTATTTCCGGCAAATGCTGTTCGCAGGAACTGTTAATCTCGTAGGACGATCCCTCGTCTTCCATTTGAAGCCTCGATCTCTTGACAACCACAGATTCCAGGTTCTGTTTTGTTGATTGTTCCTCAATAGTGTGCACACGCTCTTGGAGGTGTTTCAAATACTTGATAGCATCTCCCAGTACAGAATTTTTATCCATCTGCAATGTCAATATCATATGCTCAAAGAATTGTCTTAGGTCAAAATTTATCATTATTACTATCTTAATAGACTAATAATGAAAAAAATAAATAAATAAGTTAATGAAATATTAAGTATACCTTCTTCAGGCCAGGAACAAGGGTTGAAAGAGCAACAAATTGCTGGCTGAGCTGCTCACGCCGCTTTCTTTCTGCAATTATGTGATCGTAGGTTTGAGATGGCGGCCTAACCCGGCTGGTTTTCTTTGTTGTTGGCGTGCTTTTAGTAGCCTCAACAGGATTTCTTAAAATTTCAGAAACTGCTGCCTTTTCTTCGCGATTCAAGGAGCTTAGACTCAGTGGCTGAGGACTTTCAGGAGAATTGACGCTGCCAAAATTGAGAATGATTGGAGTAGAAGAAGTAGAAGAGAGATCAAGATTAGGCCTAGAAAAGTTATAATTGTTAGGCTTTTCCTGCTTGGATGGTGGTTCCTTGACCACTTCATTTTTTTCCATGCATGATGAAGTGAGCAAATCGCTGGAAGAGCTGCTACTCCGAATCAGAGTTGATGAGCAATTGCTTCGTGGAGACAAAGTAGGGGATTCTTCTCCAAGAAGTGTAGCCAAATCTTCATCAAATGAGTCCATGAAACCACATTTATCCTCGAAAATTGAAGTTTCCTCTCCCTGTAATATTAATCAGTTATCACATTGCAGAATAACAAGTATTATTTAATTACTTTAAATCTTATAACCACACATTAATGACAGTCATTGACTGTTTTGTTTCTCCCCTGCATTACTGACTCAATCCTTGATGCTCTTAGATTTGTCATAGTCTGTTTGGACCATGCATGAAGAAAACGATGTAGTTTAGCTAGGTGAAGTTTATAATTACCAGTTCTGAGAACCACGAGGCAGTTGAGAAATCCATTGACTAAGCTCTTTTTCTTTTAATTTCTGCACTAGCACCACCATATACGAAACGAAACTGCATTTTGAGGAGGACAAGTAAATTATTCTGAAATAAGTGAAAAGCTTCTTGCATGAAGAAAATACAAAGCACAAAAATACTACGGGCTCCTCTGAAGAAGGTTCAACAGAAACTAAAGAATATGCAGCTGAACAGAACCCTGTAATTATAAATGAGAGAGAGAGATTTCATGCTTAATTACCTTCCTTGTCAGCCTCACTATTGTTCCAAGCTTATATATAATATCAGCTTACACCTTCCTCGTGGACATACGACGTATCTTATAAGCTACCTCATAAAAAAAAATACGTATATTCAGGACCAGACTTCTGATTTCTGGGACCTTAAGCTTACTTTATTCGATGTCTTCTGTATACGCTTTTTATGCTCCGTGGGAATTAAAATCTAATTTTTAATAGATTGTAACGGAAGCTGATAAAATGTGTAGTTAAAATATTATAGAATTCATAAAATATATGGATTAAATTAATTGTTGAATTTAATTTAGCCCCTGTTGGAGCTACCTTATTTTTTTCGTTCTCATTCTTCTACTCATTTTCAATCATACATTCTTTAATAAAATAATATTTTATATCACATCAATAACTTTTTTTTTTTTCAACTACATATTCTCCATCACATCAAAAACAAAAATGCATTTTTGGCTAAAAAATGTGCGCCAAATAGGAGCTTAAATTACAATTTAAATTTTAATTTTTACCAAACATGAACTAAAAGTTTATCTGTATAGATAAATATTTAAAATATTAATATCACAAGCGCCCTCATGACTAATGCGAGACCCTAAGTAGTAATCACCAGTAGGTTATACTTGAGGATGTATATGAGCAAACAGTAAAGCTTCAAGTATAGAAAAATGTTATAAGAATTAAAATCGTTACTGATGTGGTCGAACATGATTGATTCCTTTTTTTTCATCTTTCAATAGTATCAAATCAAGCGTTATTAGTCAAAATTTTCGTAAAAAAATAAGCATTCATCGCATGATTGATGAGCAAATCAAACAAGAACGCCACTATTGTTGGCTTCTCTCGCTTTCGCCCTTTCGGGTAATAATTGAGGTGAGAGGAGAGAACTTTTGTGGATCCCTTGGTTCTATTTGAAAAGAATATAATTACAACATTGTCCTAGAAGCCGTACATCTGATACTTTCCCGAAGCTTTGGTGGAGATGAATTTGTTTTTAGAGAAACGACATCATGGGTGGCAGCAAGGGTGGGGTCCACAATTTAAAAATCATGTACCCCCACCCCCATTGTTAGAGGACCGTGAAATTGAGTGTAGTGTACACTCATCACTATTCTTGTTTTTAATACTGTCAAGGATTATATTATTGAAATTTGCTACTTGTACAAACTTGGTACACAATTTCCTACACAACGCTCTTACATATGTGTGTGGTCCACAATGGAGACCACATTGTGGGATCCACGCACATGCGAGAGGGTTGTGTAGGAGATTGTGTATCAAGTGTGTGCAAGTAGCATTACTCTATATTATATGTACACAAAAATTGACACATAATTTTCACATATTTGAATTGGCAGATTTTAGTATATTGATCTTGAAAACACATTTTACAATCAATTGTCAGTTTTTTGACACATAGAAGAGATGTCAACCAAGATATACATTTTGTGTGTATAAGTAGCTTAATCATACTGTAAAGAGTTATCTTCAAAAATTAAGTTAGTTATACACTCATGTTCACAACTAATTAGACATCACTTGAGGTTAAAATCGAGACCATTGATTTGAATAAGTGTTGTTAAAATCAATGGTAAAATTATGTGTCATATCAAAAGGTGTAAACAAAACTATCAACAATGGTGTAAGTGTAACCAAACTATATTTTCAAATAGTAAGACATTTCATGATGATTATTTATATTATTTACTAAGACCCTATTTGATTGCAACGAATTCCATGGAAAATATCACATTCGAGGAAAACAAATTTTACTTTGGTCGTTTTATTGCAACGTGGAAATAGAAATCGAATTCCAAGATACAACCGCTTTAAACTATATTTTCTTTGTTTTCACAGAAAACGAATTCCTATAGGTTGTGTAAGTTTTTATTTTCCAACTAACATATAATTTGAATTCCTTTCCACTTTTACCTATTAAATGGACCATAATAGTCATGATACATCGAGTGTAAGAAAAGTTATGCCCCTGTTTGATTATTAGGGAAAAAATAATATTTTAAATGGTAATTTTTTAAATATCAGGCAGTTCACTTGCAAAGGTAGTATGTAGTTGCCTAGAATTGGGTTTTAATTTTCTTTATTTATTTATTTTTTAAGACCCGGCTCATCACGGGCCGAAATAGTCCGTGACACGAGCCTGCCCGTGTGGCTCGGGCTGGCTCAAGCTCGGGCCAATGCCTCAAAATGGTTTCACCGAGCAGCGAGCTGAGCCGACTCAAGCTTTTCCCGAGTTGAGCCATGAGCCGCCTAAGTTGACGGACGAAATTGACACTCCCAATAGTGCATGCTACTTTCCTTTGCTAGTCGCTCAAACAATACTTGGTTTTAATGGCTATAAATATTTTGAATTATTCTAATTGGACAACCAAGTTTTAGTTGAGTCATGCTTAAATTGATTTTGACAAAGATGTGATAGAATAATGCCATTTATTATTATGATGATAGAATATCGATGATTTGATAGTCTATATGAAATAATGTGATTGAACAATTCAATTTTTATGAGAGAGAAGGAGGAGAGAGAGAAATGTGAGGGATAATGAGTTATCGCATCACTGATATTCTATCATCATAATGATAAATATCATTACTCGATGTGATATTTAGTGATGTTAACATGATGATTTAATTAACATGTGGTTAATTTACTGAAGATGAGTAAATATTTTAGCATAATATAATTTTTACATTATATCTTGTTAACTATGCGAGGTTGCTATCCATATGTATAAGAACATATAGATACCCAATATGGAGAGAAATTTTCGAGCTAAAAAACATCTCTCCGTTGATGAAATAGATTGATTTTGTCTAGACTACATTTGTTGTTGTAATGTATTCGGAGTGTTGTGATGGATGAGTTATTTGGAGTTTGGACTAAGACGAGCCTATGTTGTTTGATTTAATAGTCTTGCTCCTAATATTCGGGTCGATGTAGTTTATGTGTAGTTAGTAGTGATAAAGTATGGACTCGAATCTAATGAAAACTTTATTTAACTACTTAATTTTTTTTCAAACACAAAATATAATAATATAAATAATAAAAAAATCAAATTACAGTGGTGGCCAAGCTTCTACCGGTCAGCTGGCCAATGATCAATTTGTCATTGTGTTATCAGTTTTGCTACATCGTCAGACAATTTTACCACCTTCCTTGACAGAATGACTCAACACTGTCATTCAATCATTTATTGTCACACACCATTGTCATCCAAGATGTTAAAAACACTTGGCAAAGTAGATTAATTCTTGTGTTATTAGCAGTGAATGTTATGCATATCATGAACTTTAAATATATTTATGTAAAAAAAAAAAAAATTATGTTATTTGTCCTTACAAAAATTGTTACAATATTTGGGAAAATGAAAATATATATGTTACCCTGATTTCCATGCATTCGGTCAACCAGAATGTGCAACGAGAAGGCCCCAAAAAAGAAAAGAAGGAAGGTTGAATGGAGGGAGAATGGTGGCTAAAGATTGAAGTGAAACGGTTAGTTAATGAAGTGAAGATTGATTAATAATTTTTTCAAGAGGCATTTTATCGTGGTTATCACGTGAATATATTTTCTCAGATTTTATTTTATTTGCTTAAAAATCCATTTTATTAAAATTATGTATTATCCTGGATAATTTAACTGTAAAATATCTTCTATTTATTTCTTCTTCTTTCATTTATCATATCTTGTTTTTCTTTCTTATAATTCTTTGTAATATTATAAATCTCTGATTTATGGAAAGCATGAAAACTCTAGTCAACAAGATCTTTTGATCTAGTCGGGAAAGCTGACCTATGTGTAGTTAACTTTACTCAATAGAGTTGTGCTGTGGGTACAGGGTGGGGTTCACATGGGTCCCGCATGAGGCCCACCCATGCGAGTGTATGTAAAACTTATTTCCATACATATGACTTTGTTCTACTCAATATGACAATCTCGATACTTAATCTTGTCAAACATAACTTCAAACTAGATGATCTAAGTCTACGATTTGATCTCTCACAAAAGCTATTAGGACTCTCGTCTACCTCGTCAAACAAGAACTAGTCAAGAAAGCCATTACGTTATAACGATACTAATATGATATTCGATTTCAAACTTCTAACCAGAGAATCAAACTTTAACTCAGTTTTAAAATTCATTTTTTATAACAACTATATCAACCACGAGTTTACTTATATAAATTTACATAAATATTTAAAACCAAAATATACACATTGGCACATGGAACGGTTTGGTTTTATTCAGTTTTTTAAACTTATTTTAGCGATTATTTAATGGGATGACAACTTATATCAAATTTAAACCATATATTTTATTAACTTTTATCAAAATCTACTAAAACCTTAATTTTTTTTATCTAAACCTAACAAGAGCATAGTTAGGTTGTCCTCGAAATTGGACCAATTCAGACCAGACCATGTCCCCTCCTAAGTTCTTTTTTTTTTTTTTGCATTCTTATATTCAATATTCCATTAACTAGGACATCATATCCATAATGACAGTTTCATTGAAAAATATGTGACATAAAAAGATTTATTTTGCCCTCATATTTTAAAATAAGCAAAGAGAAAAAGAAAGTTCGATAAAATATTTGTCTTTCATTTCAAAGTACTCTAATAAAATATTTGGATCGAAACAATTATCAGAGACAAGATACACTAATTAATTGAAAGTTAATGATAAGAATGTTATAAAAAAATTTGGAGAACTTTTACTACAATTAAACTATG